ACCATGAATAAGTTAAAGATGCTCTCTCTACTAGGAGTGTCCAACCTCTTGGCCGCTCTGGGCCACACTGGAAGAACTATCTTGGGCCACACATTAAATACACAAATACTAATGAAAACACAAATACTAATGAGCAAAAAAATAGGTTTGAAATAAATCTACAATTCTGTGTGGACCGCATTCATAGCCCGCAGGACTCAGGTTGGACACCCCTGTGTCTAGATAGTGATTCCGCAGCCCTCCAAGCAGCCGCAAAGGGACTTTAGTCGCCAGAATCCCCAAATGCTCAAACCTCCAGCATTCTCAACCAGGCAGACGCCATTATGATAACTTCAGAAGCATTCAGGAGACACAACAGCACACGGTACACAGTAGATGCCCAAGAAATATTTGCAAAATTGTACCTATTCCCCTTTCAAAAACTATCCCCAATACCATTTAACATATAAACCAGACTCTCTTTGAACATTTTCACTGAATATGTTCTAGTTATCTTTTTAATAATCACTCTTTATTAGCTGGTTATACTTGCCTTACTATCCAAAGCCCACATCAATAATTTATAGCATAAAATAGCCAAGAATATGAACAATTCAACATGAAGAGATTCAAAGAGTAAAGTTCAACATTATAGGGAGAAGAAACACAAATGCCACTTTATTAAATAAACTTAAAATTTTTTTAAGGAAAAATATATTTCTGTCCAACTGTGGTGAAACAGAAATATCCATGTATCTCATAGTAGTACAAGCTGATAAAATATTCTTGAAAACAGCATGGCAAGACATCAAAACATTCATACCACGCTAACAATAATGTCCTCAAAAAGTTCATCCTAGAGATATAATTAGAAAAAAAATACAATATTATCTGTTTTGATATAGGTTAAAGTATCAACTGAAAACCTATCAATAACATAAAGACCTAACACAAAAAGATTTCAGTGGCCCTGGCTGGTGTGGCTCAGTGGACTGCGTGCCAGCCTGCGAACCGGGGAGTCACTGGTTCAGTGCCTGGGCGCGAGCCTGGCTCGCGGGCTGGGTCCCCAGTGGGGGACACCCAGGGAGCAACCCCACATTGATGTTTCTCTCCCTCTCTTTCTCCCTCCCTTCCCCTCTCTCTCTATTAAACAAATAAAATCTTTTTTAAAAAAACATATTTAAGGCCCTGGCTGGTGTAGCTCAGTGGATTGAGCATGGGCTGCAAATCAAAGGGTTGCTGGTTCGATTCTAGGTCAGGGCACATCCCTGGGTTTCAGGCTGGGGCCACATGAGAGACAACCACACATTGCTGTTTCTTTCCTTCTCTTTCTCCCTCCCTTCCCCCCTCTTTAAAAATAAATAAATCTTTTTTAAAAAACACATATTTAAGTAAATTATGAGCACATGACTTGATGAAATATTTGCAGGCTTTCAAAATGTTATATAAATTAAATAGTGACACCTTTAACATGGAACTGTTTCATGATCTAGTACATAGAAAACATTCAAATTATATGCACCATAATTTTAAATGAGCAAAACATATTTTAATGGAATGCCAAAAAGAAAATCAACTATTTTAGTGGACTAACCCCAATTTTAACAATTTATTAAATATCCTAACTTAAGAAAGTTGCACCATAGAGGGCATAGAGGGGTTCCAGGACACAAACTTGATATAGTCTCAAGAAGAGGCCCACCCCTCCCCACAATGTCCGCTCTGGCCTTAACTGAAAGCCCTCCCACACTCCTTATCACGATGACCTATGACACCCCCAGATCCTAGCTTTCCAAAACAACAAACCAGCCTAGCTGGTCTTCTGATCACCCCCATGACCCTGTGCGGGATGAAGCATATACTCATGAAACAAAGAACCCCTGCAGCCAAGTATTATTTTAGCAAGCAGCAAGCAGCCAAGCCCACATTCAATTATAAATCCTAAAAGTATAGAGTACTGTCACATTAAAGTCTCTGGCATTCGCCAGGAACTTGCAGACTTGGTGGACTGACTCACAGTGAAAAAGCAGCACGGACACATGGACACATCAAAGATCTAGTGGCCAGGAGACCCCCCTACAGTTAAAAAGGGAAAAACTTATTTTAACCACAAGAAACAGAAAACCAAAAACTCCAGCTTAAAACAAATTAGTAAAAAGTAGCTGGCAAGGTCTTGTAAATCTCATGCAGCTGGAGTCCAAAAGGCAGGATGGCAAGTCACTTTATTAACGCAGGAAGCTCTCCAGAGCTGGTGATGTCGAGCAGAAGATGGGCAGTGAAAATATGCTACAGACATGCCCTTAGCACTGATGTTCCACGAGGACAATGCTAAAACAATCTAGCTGTTCTTCTGTAGTATTATCATTTTCTAAGTTTAATAATGGAAGACCAAAGTAGTATAATGAACCAAGAAGTTAAATTACTGTGAAAAAATAAATATTTCTTTACTTAACACAGCTTTTCAGCAAAAGATAAGTAATCTGAAAGACCAATGCAACCATTGTGTGGAGGGATCACAATCATTAGAAAAGAAGTTTAAACTTTTTGTATTGATAGAAACAAAATCTAGATACTATTCTCACTATCTAGATCCAAAAATACAGATATATGGACCTGGCTGGTGTAGCTCAGTGGATTGAGCATGGGCTGAGAACCAAAGGGTCGCCAGTTCAATTCCCAGTCAGGGCACATGCCTGGGTTGTGGGCCAGGTCCCTAGTGAGGGCATGTGAGAAGCAACCACACATTGATATTTCTCTCCCTCTCTTTTTCCCTACCTTCTCCTCTCTCTAAAAATAAATAAAATCTTTTTTTTAAAAGCAGATAGTCATTCATGACAACATACACACAGCAGATAACAGGGAAAACAATTCAACAGTTAACTGAGAGCACAAGGTGATGACCACCCCAGAATGTCAACACAGAAACCGGAGGACCTCTGCAGTCCCCATCACGTTGACAGGGTGAGCTCCCACACAGTCACGCATTCAGAACAGAGGTGGAAGATTAACCTACCCTCACTTCTCTTCAAACAAACTGACACAGTGGCAGGCTATCTCTCTGGAGACTGTTCGGAATCATCCAGTCTGTTCCAGAAGCAGCCACTGCGGTCAGGACCCACATCTTCAGATTACCATTCTTCCACCCTGTCCCACCTCCTACTTTCCGGCCAGAAACTCTCATCTAAATTAAGTCTCGCTTGTCTCTTTCTGATTTTACCAAGTCCTTGTTTTCTAAATAAGGCTCTCCTAAACTTTACTCACCTGCAGTTCACTGCACTGGGTATCACCCAAATAGCCCATCAGAGCTCTTTATAATTTCTGAAAGAGAGAGAAGGGAGCTTTTAAATACACAGTAGAAAATACCATTGCTAATATATCAGTTCTGCAGCATTTGTATCCAGTATTCACAGCATACAGTTTGTTGGTCCACAGTATTTCAATAAAAGGTAGTGTAACTAGCCAGGACCAAGAGTCCTGAGATAAGAGTCCAGAGATATAAGAAGTTTGGTTTAATGTTTCCACTACTTAGCAGTGTGACCTTGGACAAGTCACCTGACTTCTCCAGGGCTAAAAATCCTCGTCTAGAAAATAAAGACAGCCCAGACAGAAGCAGTAGAGCCTATCACCATAGAAAGAGCACAAGCTCTCCAAGACAGAACACCAGCACCACCACTTACCAATCTAGTGACGTTATGTCAGTTCACGTTTAGTCTTAATGTCCTCCTTTGCAAAATGTAAATAACAAAGACTATCGTGGAGTTGTTATGAGAATTAAAGGAGAGATGAGTTATAAAAAGCAAATGGTAGGGATACTGTGCAGCATATCATACAATTCCACAGATGGTAACTATCACCATTACCCAGCTCTAATATGACTTCAGTTCACAAATATTTATCTTCTTAAAATATCAATAAATCAAAAACTTTACTAACCTGACAATGTAATTAGCTGTTTGAGTGATTCATTAACAATTCAATTACAGTTATCTTCAACTGATGGTAGTTTAAGATTATCACTATGACTTAACATCACAGGAAATAAGAGTGGAATAGTCCCTGCATAACCTCTAAATGGTTCAGTGGCTACGCCCTCACTACCTCTCCCCTTGTTTTCACTGCTACCAGTGCGGCTCAGCGACAGAGACCTCCCAAATGCCCAATGACACCCACTGTTTTCTATGGTCAGCTCAGGGGAAGAAGACTAAAGGTGGAGGAAGGAGAACAGAGGCTTTTCTTTTCATTCTTTTTTAGTTCATACACTTAAGTACTGCTCAAATTTGCTTACCATAGCATGCATCAGTTTTGCATAAAAATAAATAAGTAAAAATTTTAAAATTTAAAGAATATTAGTTATATATATTGTTTATTGATAGGATGGTTGCCTTACAGAACTATTTTCACAAGAATTTCCACAAAAGAAAGCAACAAGGGAAATTCCGATGTGCCAAGAACACCTTAAATGTAGCACAGGAATAACAAAAATCACAAGTATTCACATTGCAGAATGGTTCAGTCAAAAAATACGCTATGGCCCTGGCTGGTGTAGCTCAATGGATTGAACGCTGGCCTGTGGACTGAAATGTCACTAGCTCCATTCCCAGTCAGGGCACATCCTAGATTGTGCGCCAGATCCCCAGTTGAGGGAGTGCAAGAGGCAACCAATCAATGTTTTTCTCACATATCAATGTTTCTCTCCCTCTCTTTTTCCCTCATTTCCCCTCTCTCTAAAAATAAATTACATGCCCTGGCTGGTGTAGCTCAGTGGATTTAGTGCGGGCCTGCGAATCAAACAACCACGGTTCAATTCCCAGTCGGGGCACATGCCTGGGTTGCAGGCCAGGTCCCCAGTGGGGGACAGATGAGAGGCAACCACACATTGATGTTTCTTTCCCACTCTTTCTCCCTCATTTCCCCTCTCTCTAAAAATAAATAAATGAAAATTTAAATATGCTATGCATTCCTTGAAGAATACGATGAATCAATCAGTTTTGCTTTTCTGTTTGTTTTTGTTCAAAAGCACGATGAATATACAAACTCAGGCTTTACCAGACAACTTTCTGCTCTTGGAGAAACTGACCCAGTAAAATTTACACAAGTAAACAAACTGGTGTGACTCTTTGGTAATATGTTGAAAAACTTTGTTTTAAACAACTGATGGCTTTAAAAAATTTTACATGTAAATTCAAAGTCTTCATGTTATATCTACAATGTTATTTTTTAAAAGAAATATTAACTCAATTAAATTCAGAATTATTCAGGAGCATTACCCAGCCAACCCTGAAGTTACAGACAGCTGTTTTATGCTCCTTCTAGCCAATGCTACAGAAATAATCCTGACTACACCCATCAATTTAAATGAACTGTAAACAGGTATTGCCACTCCACACATTTCATAGTTCTCTCCTAGAAAACATTTCAAATATTACTTAGAAATAAAATTATATTTATATGTGCACTTATCTAAGTTTATGAAAATAAACCACCAGAACAATTTGCTTATAATTTTTAAGCAGCCCCTCCCCCTCTCTTGTAAATTGATAAACTTGGCCCTAAATCTTCTATTCATTTGAAACAATAGCCAAAGGACCTTATTTCTTGTGCTGGGTCTCTATCTGGATCTTAAACATAGTCTGACAATTACGGACTAATTTGCATTTAATATCAATACCAAGCCTACCTGTTACACAAAAAACAAAAATGCACATATAAGATCTGGTCTACTTATTTGAAGGCCCTTCTGCAATATATTCTTAGCCTTCCATGAACATGCTGTATATTTTTAAACTGCACAAGGCCCTTTACAAGTAGGAATGATCTCTGCTGTGGTTCAGCATCACTCCCCTGTTCATTAAAGCACTGGGCCCTCCAGAAATGTACATGAACTTTAAAACAATGCAGTTTAAATATTTATGGTATCAGAAAATTAAACTGCTTGCTAACAGTTGCAAAAGTCAAGTTTACCAGCTGATAGAGAGGTACTTATTGGCTCCCAAAAACCACAGGCTTACCTAAAAATAGTGTCCTAGCTTCTCAGCCAAAAGGACGGGCTAGAAAAGCTACGTCTCTGTGGAGCTCAAAGACACAGACTTCTGCTTCAGCACGACCCTCATTACTGTGGCATCTCCCAGTTTAGAAAACTTTGTATGACGACTTGTTTGGTGGCCAACCACTAACTTCACTTTGAAGCGAATACTAACACTTCACATGGTCAACATGTGTGAAATTGTGGAACATGTCTTGACACAATTTAGGCCAAACACTAGCCACACAAGATTACCTATTTCTAAATACTAAATTTTAGACTACAAATGAACATCTCCATAGGCCAAAAAGCCGATCACTGGTTCCTTTCCACAAAGTAATCTATAAACTTAAAAAATAAAAAATAAAAGGTTCCGATTGGGAAGTCTAAGGCATGAATATGACTCCATCTGTAAGCTGAAAATAAATAAATTTTAAAATCCTTATTTTCTCTGCCAAGAATAAAAATAAACGTGATACACACAAGCACTGCTGAGTTTCAAACACAAGCAAATGTGGTGTGTGGTGTGTACACTTACAAAAGGATCTTGGTTTGTGTCCACCTTCCTCTCCCAAGTTTTTTTTTAAGGCACAATGTCAATTGTATGCCTCAATCTGGAAAAAAAATAAAAGCACAGCTTATTCTTTTTAAACAGATGTTGCCATAGATATGAAAAAGTTTGTGAGACGATTTCAAAATCCAAATGCTACCCAGATGTGTTAAAAAAAAAAACCCTCGGTAACCAATCAATCTACCATAACTTAATTTTCTCAATAAACCATAGTAAAGTATGTTTAAAGTTCAGAAAATTACTTGTGAAAAATGTAAAATCAGCAAACTTTTCTCCTCTTCAGTACTGAATACTGTTTACTGACACAATAGCAATAAAGTCCTTTAAACCCAAAGCATTAGAAGTTACATTAAATAAAGCAATGCTTTTAATTCACACACCACATGTGACCAGGAAATAATGACAAACCAGGCTTATCCCTAAAAAGAATTCAACTAAAGAATTCAACTCAAAGAATTCAGCTAAACAAAATTCAACACTATCATTTTTATTTCAAAAATAACTATGAGAGAGACGAGTACTATTCCATTTTTCAGAAAATAAAAACAGGAATGACTGATGTGCCTAAAATAATTCTTTGCAATGTAAAGGGTGTACTTTACAAAAGCCCCACAAACTGGGGACACACAAAATCCACACACATGATCACTGATACTCAGTAGACAGAGTGAGTGATGGCCACCAAAACACGGATAAAATTAAGACATCCAATTAAAGTTACACGAGGAAATTTAAATAGGCAAACTATAATTACTCCTGGTGAAGATACCGGTCAAGGGTAGCGGTAAATAACATCTGGCTCTGGGTAAGCTCCTCTATGGCTAAGTATGTTGAAGCTACTGAAAAGTCTGGTACACTTGACATATTTTTCCTTTCTAAATCTGGCCCTGCCCATATATCCAATCTGACTAAGTTATTTGGGAAATAAAAACGAACCCATGAAATTACTAGTATCAGCCTCACCTTTATGAGCTGATTAAAATAAAGGGAAAAAAAGTAAAACATTTTTAACTTCAGTCTCACCTTACACATCTCACCAGCACTGTAGTTCTTTAGTGATCAATCACTTCATCCAATTCCTGAGGCAAACAGAAAAGTAAAATGTGTCCATAAAACATCAGTAATAGTCATAATCAGTAGCAAACATTTGATCTGCCTAAAGTGAAAGGGCATCTAAATTTCAAATGGAAAAAGTTACCAAAATGGTACAGTATGAGGTTTTGTAAATGAGTATTGCTTGAAAACAAAAATAATTCCTTTCTGTAATATAAAATAGATTACAAAATGTTCTTAAAATCCAAAACATAAAAAAGTCATCTCTTTTAGTGCTTACTGACCTTACTTAAAAAAAAAAAAACAAAGAGGAAGAAAGGGAGGAAAAGAAGAAATGAAGGAGAAGAAACCTCATTAATATGAACCGAGAAGGTAAAGAACTAGCCAGGACAACTTTCCCCCCTTCCCCGCCCCATCCAGGAATGCACTGTCTCTGGAATTATATATATTCTATTAATTATTTGCCTGAAAAGCCTAAGTTATAAAGGAGAAGGAATAACCATTTGGAGTTTCAAACAAAACCTAAGAAACCTAATCCAAGAAGAATCCTTAGACCCTGGCTTCCATCTCTGTCTGAGGACCCTCAGCAAAGGGGAGGGTGTAGAAGGCTCAGATAAGTTGCGAGGAGAGGAATCCAAATCCCTAGATAAAACTGCAGTCCTTGAGCCCTAGAGCAAGGAAGCCTTACAGGAATCTCCAGGAAAGGGTAGTCTGTTTTTATTTGTGTGGATGTGCTTGCGGCCCAAAGAAAATTTCCGAGAGGTCGAGAAAGGGGGAAAAAAGTGAAGCTCAGGAAAGAGCCCTCGGCCAAGGAGGGAGGGGGCGCACCCTTGACCCACTTTTCCCGACGCCCACCCTTCGGCCCCCGCCCGACCCAGTGCAAGTCCGAGCCCAGAGGGGACGGTCGAGCGGGGCGTGGGAGGCCCGCACGCTCCCCACCCCCAGCCGCGACCCGGAGGGAAGCGTGCAGGGAGGTTCGACTCCCCCTTGCGGAGTGCCCGGGGCTGGAGAGACCTCCCGCCAGCCCGCGGCCCGGGTCGGTACGGGCCCCCTCTATATAGCCTGGGCCAAGGGCGCCGCGGCCCTCAGCGGAGGGGAAGGGGACCTAGGAGGGGAAGAAGCTGTAAACAGCCCCAGCGTCCGGGCCTCGCCTCGAAGAGCCCTGCGTCTCAGGCCCCGCCGCGGGCCGCCGGGGCCCCCAGGCGGCCCCGGGGCCACCGCTCCCGGGGCCCAGGGGAGCGGAGGGGAGTCCGGTCCCCTTCTTGGAGGGCTACGGCATCTCGCAGAGCGGTCCCAGCAGCAGAGAAGGGGGAAGTCAGGACTTACCTGTCATTACTTTCTACGCCATCTTGGATCCACTTGTCAACGTCCCCACAAAGCATTATGGGTAAGAAAGAGCCTTTAAAGTGACTCCCCCCCGCCCTCGGCCCCCGACTCCCGCCTCCGCCGCCGGCACCGCCCCTCGGGCCGCACCTCCTACCCGGAAAGTTGCCCCCGGTGCCTTGCTGTCCTGGGCGCCCTCGGCCCGGCCCCCTGCTCTCCTCTGGGCCTGTGCATTTAAAAGTCACCCCCATTTTTAAAATGTAGCTTTGGGTTTTTCTCTTTGCTCCAGCCACTGGCCTCCCTTCCCCCCACTCCTCTCCTGCTCGCCAGTTCCCTTTGCCCCGCCGCCCTCCTGCCCTGGCAGACACCCCACGTCTGCATTTAATCAGCCCGAGGTTTCCCTGCTGCTGGCAGCAAAGAGTTGCTCATTGATTTATTTATGCGCATTATGTGTCTGTTATTGCTCCAGATCTTCGGTGTACAGCTGCGGGTTCCTACGACCCACTTCTCGCTCCGGGAAGCTGGGGGTCGCTTCAGGGCCCGGCAACCTTGCAGACCGGCCGGCGCTCTGATTCCTGCATTCGTGGGAAGAAAGGTTCTGGAGCCGTTGGGCTCCACGATCTGGCGACACGGTGTCCCTGAGTCAACCAGCGTCTGAGAGCGTTTGGGGGGTTGGGGAGTAGGGGAAATAATAAGCAAAATGCAACTGTTACCCTGTGTTACTCCCCCTCCCGCTGTATCCTCCCTTCGGCCGATAACCTGATCTACGACCCTCTGGGTAGGGATTCCTCCCCTAGGAATGTGGGCTCTACCGAGTCTACACTTTTACCGCCCGTGGTGCGTGCGGATCGTGACTTCCCGAGGCAGGTAACTCGGAGCACGGGCACCGGCTCGCGCGCAAAGGCGCTCCAGCACTCGTGGGAGGGCCCCCGAGAGGGTTCGGGGGTGGAAGGTGGATGTGCCCGTCGGGGCCCACCTGGCGAGTCCCAGCAGGGTGATAAGCCCAGGGAGCCGGGCAAGGGGAAGACTGCGGGCACCACTCCTGCCAAGGGGTTGTGGAGGAACGCAGTCTCCAGGCTGCAACTGAGGGCGCTAAAAGTAGGGGGCGCCCAGACGCTGGCGGGGAACCCCAGCTAACGACCCCGCAACCCACTCCCGCCGCCCGCATTGCTGCTGGAACCAGCAGGCTCTTTGCGGGGGAGCCGAGCTCTCTCCCTGATACTCGCCTCCGGCTTTCGGTTGTGCTGGGCGACTTGGCGTAGTCTCCCGTGCCCCTGGCGCCCGTTGGGTAGTCCCCTCGCCCTCTCACTTCCCGGCGCCGCTAGTCTCAGACTTTGGGGGCCTGCTCTGGCTACTTTTTTTCCCCCAAGAGAATTTTTAAAGAGGTGTCCAAGGGGAAAATGCTCCAGGACATCAGTGATTGCGAAACTACATTCGGTACAAAATGCTGAATGACTCTGAAATTAGAGGAATGCTCGAGCATTAACCATCCCCCACTTCAGTGCACTGGGAGGGCTTCGGGCCGTGGGGCTAACCAAGGGTTCTACACTCCTCCAGACCCTTGGAGAAGCCTCTCTCGAGGAACCTGATCTGTTGCTGACACGAGCCCTGCCCCCGGGGAGCGAAAAACTTCACCAAGCAATTGTTCTTGCCAGATGGGAAGAGTGAGGTGTAGACTCATTAAGGGATTGGCCCGGGGTCAGCCGTGAGGGAGGGAGCGAGATAATGAGTCACTCCCGGCCGAGAACGCACCGTGCTGGGGAGGGACCTCCCCTGAGTCACCCGCTTTCTCAGAGCTGCTAGTCCGTTGGGTAACTGGAGCCAGGTTCCAGCGCAAGCAGCCACGCGGGGCCGTGGGCTAGGGATCCGCGATACAGCCGGCTCTCGGTCAGAGTCTGTTGCTGCCCCCTTTAACGAAGGCTCCCAAATCTCCTCTTTTCGGGGTTCCCCGGTTGTTCCTTTTCCAGTTCCCCTTCAGCCACAATGTGCACTGATTTAAAGGCTGCTTTGTGTGTGCAGGACATCTCTAGACGTGTGGTCAGTTTCCTATAATTAAACACTAAATACGCTGAGGGCAAGTTCTGTGCCTCCCAAAGCGTTTCTTTAAGTGGGTCCCTTTCTTTGCCTACAGGCCTTGAACTAAAGAAGGGCTTAATTTATGTACCTGCCTGGTCCATTCACTCACTCCAGGGTGCATCCCGGTCCTTCCTTTCCTCCCAGTACCACGTGTTGCCTGAGCTAGAAGCCTCCTAACTCTTCCCCCCCTCCCCCCTCCACAAGGACCCCTACAGTCTATTCTCCACCTGACCAACCCAGGGACATTTGTGATGTTAATGCCTCATGACTCCTCTGCTTAACCCCACCAAAGGTGTCCCTATCACAGTTAGAATAAAACCTGAATTCCTAACCAGGGCTACAAGCCCCTTGTGAAGTGGCTCCTGCCTCCCCTTCCTCACTATGATCCCAGCACTGGCCTTCTCTCTTCCCCTGCAACATCCCAGGCTTCCTTCCAGAAGGAACCTTGTTCCCCAGCTCTGAGAATCATCTTTTCAGCACTCGGGTCTCTTCTCAAATGTCACTTCCTCAAAGAAGATTTTCATGATCCCCTTAACCAAAGCAGGTCACTCATGACTCTCTCTTAACCCTGGGTTAGAAATTTCCTCATCACTTTGTTGACTGTTTATTATCTGCCCGCCCCCATTGGAGTATAAGCTCCATAAGGGTGCCCAGACCTTGTCTGGCTTGTTCACTCAGGGCCTGGACCAGGGCCTGGCACATAATAGATGCTCCACAAATATCTGTTGAATGACCAAACTTATCAAAGCTCTGGGTGATGATGAAAGAGGGTGCTGAAGAAGCCTGGAATGAGCTGCTAAGGACCCTCTCCATCTCTTCAGACCACTCCCTCTGTGTACAGTTAAATGTGGGCAGATAGGAATGGAGTTGCGGGGAAGAGCCACTTGGCCAGCATGAATGCTCCCCTCATTCTGACTCTCATCTGAGGCGCCCACAGCCCCAAATATTAGTAATTCCTCAGTCACTTCTCTTGCTTTTCCTTGTTTTTCCCTCCCCATTGCCCTGAGTGAGGAAAGACTCCAAACCTATGGCTCCTGCTGATAGCTTTCTCCTGAGCCTCAGACTCTTAGCCAACAACGAGTCGACATCTCCACTTGGCTCCATCAAACACATCCCAAACTCAGCATGTCTGGGAGTGAACTCTTGATCTCTCCCACCACGGTCTTCCCTGGTCTTGTTATTAGCAACTCCACCCTTAAAATTGTTCAGGCTTCTCAGACTGGTATGGCTCAGTTAGTATGGGCATCTTTCTGCAGAGCGAAAAGTCATTGGTTCAATTCCTGGTCAGAGCATATGCCTCAGTTGCAGGTTCTGTCCCTGGTAGAGGCATGTATGAGAGGCAACTGATTGATGTTTCTCTCTTGCATCCATGTTTCTGTCCCTCTCTTTCTCCCTCCCTTCCCCTCTCTAAAAAATAAATAAGTAAATTGCCCAGGCCACGTTCCCTCCTGGCTTTCTCTCAAATTTTACCTCCAATCCATCTGCAAATCCAGCTTTGCCTTTGAAATACCCAGTATCACCTCCATTGTGGCCACTCTGGTCCAATTCACTACAATCTCCTCCTGTTCACCCCCATCAGTATATTCTCAATGTAATTGCCAATACTGGTTTTGGTAAAATTAAATCAAATTCTATACCTCCTCTGCACATACCTCTCTGATTTGCACTCGTCACATTCAGAGGAGGAGCCTGAGTCCCACACAATTTGCCTCTTCTCGTCTCTCTGACCGTATCTCCCACCTCTCCCCCTGGCTCACTTCAGCCATAATGGGCTCCGTTTTGAGAGCCCCCTCCTCCAGTAATATATCCACATGGCTTGTTCCTTCGCCTCCCTGAAGGCTTTGCTCACCTCAATGAGTTCCTTTCTCATCATTCAATTAAAAACTTCAGTATTCTTAACAAGCATTTTATATCTCTTCCCCTTCTTGTTTGTTTTCCAGAGCATTTATTGCCTCAACATAATAAATAATTTGTTTAGTTATTCAGTTTCTGTCTGCCTCTCTCCATGCGAAGTGTCAGCTTGCGGATCACCAAAGGCTTGTGTTTGTTGCTGAGAATTACATGTCCCAGCTGTGCCCTTGTGGCTAGCTGGGACCATGCGACTAGTTCTTGCAAATTGAGTTAGAGCTAAAGTGCGACTACGAACGGGCACGAATGGGCACGTGGAAATCTTCCTGACCAAAAATATATGCATTGGACTCTCAGCTGATCAGACAATAGAACTTTAGTATGCTAACCCACTGAGAACTTGTGATCTCTTTGTAATGGCATTTAGCACCTTAATTACTACATCTAGGTTACTCCAGTTCACTAGCTTGGAAGCTCAGGGAAGGCAAGGACTTATGTAAGTTTTGTTCATTATTGTGTCTATCCTCAGTGCCCAGAATAGAGTTTGGCAAAAAAAAAAAAAGGTACTTAATAAATATTTGTTGAGTGAAGGAGTGAATTGTCTTTTCTATTACCAATCATGAAAATTAGTGAATGATTGGCAAAGAAAAGACAATAAGAAAGGGTTTTTGTTGTTGTTGTTGTTGTTAAGAAGTAGAAACTGTGAGTTTCTAGAGGATCATTGGCTACAAAACTTTGGTAAAACTAAAGAAAGTTCCCTTGACTTTTGTTCTCTGTCTTCATTTTTTCCTTTTATTCTACCTCTTCCCAAGTGTCTGTTCTCCTCACATCCTCCTTCACTCTTTCTCCTTCCCTCCTCCTTTTGCTTTCATGGGTTTCCTTCTCACTTAATCTAACAAAATTCACTGCCTATTAATTTGAGCACCTAGATAACATGAGTTTAAAAAAAGAAATATTAAATCCTTGGAATCTTACACTCCCCTTCGACTTTTTAACTCAACTTATTTAAGCATTTATTTATTTATTTATTTATTTATTTATTTTTTTTAGAGAGAGAGAGAAGGGAAGGGAGGGAGAAAGAAAGGGAGAGAAACATCAGTGTGTGAGAGATACATGGCTGCCTCTCACACGCCCCCCAACTGGGGACCTGGCCAGCGACCCAAGTATGTGCCCTGACTGGGGATAAAACCAAAGACCTTTCAGTTCGCAGGCCGGCACTCAATCTGCTGACCCACACCAGCCAGGGCTACTCTTTAGCTCAATTTAATTTCTAGCGTTAGTGGACCAGGTAATTCAGACTGATCCTTCCATGAGGACAACTAAAACAAAACGGACACTATATTCTTCAAAACATCTGCTTGAACACATTCGGAAGGTTAACGAAAGCTCAAAACTACCAGGGGTAGACAGAATAGGGAGGTAATTCTGAAATTTGGGCTCCTTGAGCCCTAGGGCCCTGAGCTCTTGACAACAATGAAAAGCAAGTGTCACCTCACACCCGTTATGTTAGCTATTACACTGAAAACAGAAAATGGGGGCAAGCCTATGGAGAAATCGGAACTGTGCACATAACTACTGGAAAATGTAAAATGGTGCAGCCACTGTGGAAAACGCTATGGCTGTTCCTCCAAAAATAAAACACAATTACCACGTGACCCAGCAGTCCCGTGTCTGCTTGGGCATGTACACCCAAAAGAACTGAAAGCCGGGATTCAAACAGATATTGTACACATGCTCACAGCAGCCTTACAAGAACGAAAAGGAGGAAGCAACCCCAGTGCCCATCAACAGGTGAATGAATGAAAAAATATGGTATGTCCATTCAGCAGAATATCATTCAGCTTAAAAAGGAAGGAAATGCTGACAGGCTACAACATGGTTAAACCTTAAGGACACTATATTAAGTGAATTAAGCAAGTCACAGAGAACAAATTACTGCATGATTCAATTTATATGAAGTACCAATATAAACAGTAAAATGACAACAAACTCACAACTATCAACAATAGAACCTAAAAACAAAAAC